TTCTTAGAGAAGGTAATTAAGTTATTCTTTTATAAGCCCAGAAAAGTCTTCTAATAGTAGGCCACCAGGGACTTATTGCATAAGACCAGTATATTCTGCATATGGGAGCCAATAGTGTTTCTCTTCTTAAGGGATCCAGTGGGGTCTTTTTATGGAGGGCAACTAGGCTATTCATATAGCTTATATTCTCGAATGCCAGATTAGTCTTCTGGAAAGCCATTAGGGGCATATTTTATGCATCATTCTATGAAAACCTACATATTTTAATTATGTAATAATTATGTCTGAATTCCACCAAATTGCCTACATCAAATTAATAATCTTCAAAAAAAAAAAAAAAAAAAAATACAACGAATACCATACCGATCCTAAATCGTCCATCCTATCTAAAGTACTGATTCACATCCAATAGTCACACACAGTCAGAAGCCAACACCACACTTCCCATCCCCTTCACCACTATTCCACATCCTATACACTTGTAATCATGCAACAAAATTTCATTCAACAAATTGTAAAGAAAGTACAGGTCGCATTTATGATCCGAATTGAATGAAATTTGGCATAGGTCACTTATTTGGCCCAATGACGATCCCTATTGAAATTAGAAAAAATCGGTTCAGATTTAAATATAGCTCCCATGTATATTTTTGTCCGATTTAATGTAAATGGTGTACCAAATTCCCTATATATCGTTTGGTTTGCACGAAATTTGGCTTAGCGTACCGTCTTGAGTTAAGAATGATGTGTGTAAAATTTCTCGAAAATCGGTTCAGATTTAGACATAGCTCCCATATATTTTCGCCCGATTTAATTTTAATTTTGCACGAAATTTTACATAGCGTACTGAATTGAATCTAGAATGATGTATGTAAAGTATCCTGAAAATTGTCTATTTTCAGAATAGAATGACGTAATTGCGTGGAGAAGTACAGATGTGGCCCATATATATTCGACAAACTTCGTGTTAATTGGGCTCCAAATATTCAACGGGTGCCCGACTGATATTTGCTTTAAGGGAACCCCACCCATTCTCGATTTTAATTTTTCAAGATTTTCAATGGGCTGGTAAATCAATACCAATGCTTGTTAAGGTTTGTAAATTTGCACATATATATTTGAAGATTTAAAAGAGAAGAAAAATAATTTACAAAAAATTTTTGTTATTGTTTTGTTGTGTTTTTTTTTGTAATTAAAGAAAAGTCCTTATTTTTGATGGCGGGCATGATAACTCCTCACTGGAACATCGGAATCCGAAAATTCCAACGGTGTTAGAAAGAGTACATGTCTGGCTCTCGTATGAACTAGGATTATTGACTTCGCTCTAAAATTAACAAAATGGCGGACCTTTGAAAAAATATTTTTGAAAAATCGCCGATTTTTGACCAAAAACCAAGTTAAAAAATAAGGAAGATCTTTACCGATTAGCTTTATCCTAGTTCATACGATAGCTATGCACTCAAAGAGAAACGTGTAAAAATTTTTAATCGATTGGATTATTAGTTTTTGAGTTATCGTGCCCGCCATTCGCAAAAGAGAAAAACGCGTTTAAAGTTTGAGAAGCCCTTTAGCCGTAACTTGATGCTGACACAATAAATCGGCTATATTTTCAAGGGTTCTTGAGATTTTCACTTGAAATTTTGTAGGGACATTCTTGAATTAGTGTAGATTCGAATTAAATCAAAAAAATTTTTGACCCCGAGAATGGGGGCTCCCCTTAAGTCGATTTACATTATTTACTCCCATTGTAGGAAACGAATGGTATGTTTATGGATTAATCTAAGTCGATTCACATTTAGATAAAGATCTCATATTTTAGTTAGTCCAATTTCACGTTGATGACCCTTCTGTTAGGATGCATCTTTTTAATATATCCATAGTGATGAATATCATATAGTCGGCCCCGTCCGACTTTAGTACTTTCCTTACTGGTTTTTTACCAGAAACAGTCCAAAGAATACGCTACTTGTGTCATTCTTACATAACAGAACTGATATTCTTCTTACTGAAGGCAAGTAATTCTTCTTCTATGAACTCAGAAGAGTATTCTAATAGTAGGTCAACAGAGAATTCTTAAATAAAAGCAGTATATTCTGCCTTTGGGAGCCAATAGTATTTCTCTTTTTAAGGGAGCCAATGGGATCTTCATATGGATAGCAAGAAGGCTACTGTTATGCTAATATATTCAGAACACCAGTATGTCTCATATGAAAATACTTTTCTAAGGTGTTCGTTGGAATGCTAGCAGTGTCTTCTTATTGCATGTCGACTTAATAATCTTCAACAAGAAAAAAAATTACAACAAATGCCATACCGATTCTAACCTTTTCCTCATCCCTACCTTACTGGTTCACATCTAATTTAGTCTTAAACCGATATCAACTTTCCTTCCCCTTCGCCTGCAAGTATCTTGGTTATTTAAGAATTATTTCTATATAATAAATATCAGAAGAGTCTTCTAATAGAAGAGCAGAAGGATCATCTTATTAAAGAGCACTAAGCCTTTTTATAAAATAATATATATAGAGCCCTGCAAGAGGTACTCCATTAATTGAAGGTCCGAAAGAGGTTTTATGTCTATAGAATGCTTGTAGGAGGTCTTCAGTTGAAAGAAGATCTACAAAAAGATCTAAAAAAATACAAGACGACTTTCGTCAACAGGGGCTCTTCCTCTAATATAGGGGACTTCGGTTTTTGGAAGGTATTTTGACTATAGAAGATCTATATAACGTCATTTTCGTCTTATTGGAGTCTGTAGGAGGATGCATGACTACAGATGTTTTCTGAAAAATGTTTTTACTAATTCATTCATTTGGATTTCGTTTAGAATTCTATAAACGGGGCCTTCTGGTCTTCTATGAGTGGACTTGTATAATTCTGTGATGTGTATAAGATTTACTAGAAGAATTGTGTTTACACACAAGTATTCTCATTTCATTAAAGTATCCTCATTTCATTAAAAATGTTTGTGGCAACTTTGACAAAATTCCTAATAGTAATGAATACCTATGTATGTGTGTATGCATTGGGTGATAATCATTATTGATTATTGATTGATCATTACTGATGTTGATGAAAGTTAAACACAAACTTCATAAACTCATACTTACACTCACTTAAAGAAAGATAAAACACAACAACCCTTTCCTCTATATATATATATGATGAGAAACAATACTTGGTACTTACCCTCATTCGATTTGCCAAACAAACTGGTAAAAATCTAAATTACAATGTTAACACATTTTGTGTAAAGACCAAAATGTCAAGATTACCAACTCATCCAAATGTTTGATGGTGATGTAAAATTACAAAAAGTTGTGATGGTTTCCACTTTTTCCGGCACACAGACACACAAACACATTCACACACGCATAATCAAGCTATATCTATTGTTTAATTGAAGCTACTCCTCCACACTCTTCCCACCTAATATATTTTTAACACAATAACGCCAAGGACATATTCTGCAGTCGCCCCACCGGTGCTGCTGTTGATGTGTTTGCAGTATTATATTCATTGTCTCAGTTTTGTTCATTCACCTCTACTGTTGTCTGTACAACAACGATGACGATGTTCCAGCATTCTTGCTGATAGCTTTTCCACCGTAGAAGACACATGGGTCCTTGTTGTTGTCATCGATGTTGTTGTGTTAGTAGTGTACTGTCGCACAACTTTTCAATATTCAAATCTGCTGCGAATTGAAATGATTGATATTTTTGTGGTAGAGATTCTGGGTTTCAGATTTGTGTGACAGAGGATTTGCACGAAATTTGCCATAGCGTACTGAATTGAGTCTGGAATTATGTGTGCTCAGTTTCGTGAAAATCGGTTCAAATCTAAATATATGCATTTCGTCCGATATTATGTAAATAACGTACCAAAGTTCTAATATTGCATAGCGTACTGGATTTAGTCCAGAATGATGTGTCGTGAAAATCGGTTTAGATTTAGATATAGCTCCCTTATATTTTACACTGTGCAACACGAAAATTATTCAGGGGTTCTAATGTACCATTTGTTTTATGTGAAACAATACGCATAAAAAGACAAATTTCATTTTTCTTCGGACTATACGGTAAAATTATAATATCAATCCGTATAAGTTTTATTATATTACGAGGGAGAAAATTAAATAACATTTCAAAAATTAAAAAAATCGCTTGAAAAATGGATAACTTTTACACATTTTTGTATTGATTCTATGTATATTCTCTATTCTCTGTTACAAACATAACACTTTGTAGCAGGAAACGAGATTACCAAAAATATATCATTTTAGAAAGGAAAAATTCTAAAAATTCTTCGAAAGAAAAAAAAAATAATATAGATCCGTTATATAGTAAATAAGTTAATCGCGTTTCAAATTGAAAATATATGAGACCACGTTTTTCTCTACATTTACCGTTATAAAACTAATTTTCGAAGTGACCCAGAAAAACCAAAGGTATTTTCGTGTTCCAGGGACTCCAACTAAACAGAATTGGTACATTAGAACCCCTGAATAATTTTTTTGTGTTGCTTTTTGCACGATAAGAAAAAAAACGTTGAAATCGGTTCATATTTGGATATAGCTTCCATATATTCTCGTCCGATTTTAAGTAAATGGTGCATCAAACTCCTCATGTCTGTCAGATTGACATGATATTTGCACAACGTACAAAATTGATAATAGGATAACGTAGTTGCGTTATCTAGAAGTACAGACATAGCTCAACGGATGTCCTATTGATATTAGTTTGAAGTCAATTTACATACTTTTGCCCCATTGTAGCAAACAAATGATATGTTTCTGGATTGATCTAAATCGATTCACATTTAGATAAATATCACATATTTTAGTTCATCCAATTTCATGTTAATAGTCCTGTTTAATATAACCATAGTGGTAAAGGGTATCATATAGTCGGCCCCGTCCGACTTTACTACTTTCCTTACTGGTAGCGGCAGCCCGATGACAGCACTCGAAGGTTGGCAGCAGCTAGGACGACACCCGCACGCAGAATGACGGCAGCAAAGCACAGCGGCAGCCCGATGACAGCACTCGAAGGTTGGCAGCAGCTAGGCACAGCGGTAGCCCGATGACAGCACTCGAAGGTTGGCAGCAGCTAGGCACAGCGGCAGCCCGATGACAGCACACGAAGAATAACGGCAGCCCGATGGCAGCACATGAAGAATAACGGCAGCCCGATGGCAGCACACGAAGGTTGGCAGCAGCTAGGCACAGCGACAGCCCAATGACAGCACGGGTCGAGGGAACGTTTAAAACCCCACTCAACCCTACCGACTGCTCTCACTGCGGTCTGAGAGAGGAGGGAACGTTAAAACCCCGCTGCACTCAACAGCCGAGACACTCACACAAACCTTAGAGCCGAGGGAACGTTAAAACCCCACTCAACTCTAAAGCCCACACCAACATATGTCTGGAGAGGGAAGGAACGTTAAAACCCCACTCCACTCAACAGCCGAGACACACACACAAAAACCTTAGAGCCAAGGGAACGTTAAAAACCCCACTTAACTCTCTAGACTACACAAACTAACTAAATTTACTGCCAAGGGAACGTTAAAAACCCCACTTAGCACAACAGCCATCCACAGAAGACTGTCCCGATTGTGTCGATTGCGCCTCCTTTTATACTGTTTCAGTGGCTCGATGTCGACTGATTATATTTTGACGCCGTACGGATCTCATCGTCGTTGTTCAGGGTTAGTCTATCATATGACCACTAGGGGGATCAGTTTGACCGTTAATTTCAAAAACAAAACCGAATACCATAAATTTCATATATTTTCTTTAAATAACTAGTAATTCAATTATTGTGTCACATAACATAAAACATGATTTCAAATAAAATATTAATACATTTATAATTCAAATATTTTATTTAATTTTGTGGCCCAAAAACAAGGTTCCGACTTTTGGCTCGTTACAAGGCCTCCCATCTCTCCCCTGATTTGTTTTCAATCTTATGTGGCTTCGTCTAGCCTGTTGCATATCAACAGGCGGAAGCCCATCGAATTGTTCAATTTAATATTCTCGCCTCCTCAATTTCTACGTCCTTTCAGCTAGCGTGAATTCGGGTGAATTTTGGAGCCTCCGTAGAGATTTTTGTGGAAGACCATCACTGCACCATTGGCCGTGACGGTAATTCGGTATTGTTGATCCCGTAGTCGGATTAATTTTCTCGCCCGTTTGCCCCTTTTGGACCTACTCAGGAATTTGACAATAATGTCCCGCAAGTCACTAGGATAGTTATCCGGTGGAACTTGGCTCCAAGTGTCATGACTGTTGCTAATTTGTTCCTTCCCTTCGGTGATGGAAGTTGTGCCTTGGCTTGGACGTTCTTTACCCTCTTCCGCATTCGGGACGAATATTTCTTCTAGGTAGTTTGGGTGGTGGCTAGCTGGTGCTACGTTGGCGCATAAGGGGACTTTTGATATTTCTGTGGGGGATGATGGTTCTCTCGGGTTGGTAAATGTGTTACTGGAAGTTATGAATGGTAGTTGGCATGGTATATATGATGAAGTTGATGATGAGGATACTATTGACTTTGAGTATGCCGAGGATGAAGTTGCTGATGGGGATGATGATGATTTTGAGGGTGACGAAGATGGACTCGCCAATGAGTATGACGTTTGCGAAAAACCTTGTCCCACTATTCCATCATCCTTCGTGTTTGTAAATGGCGTTCTCGGATTCTCGGCTACGGGCCTTTCAGTTACATTCACATTCCGTTTTGTCGCCATTTCTGGTTCAATCGAAATTCGAATAGGTGATGGAGTCTTTACTCCAACTATTGCGTGCCACTGCGTCCACCATTCCAGGTCTGGGGTTTCGGAAACGGTTACGAAACTGTTTACTTACGATCTTGAAGCTTCCTCGTCATTGTCGCTTGTTACTTGGGTGGCAGCTATGGTTTCTGAACTGTCAATTATGGGCTCCAAATCGGGCATTTGATCATATATACTTGGTTCTGCGGATAAGGCCTTACTAATTTCTTCTCCGTTGATGGCTAGTATCGGTGTTTTATCCTGATCCGGAACCAGCAATTTTACAGTGACAGTTCGTTCGTAGCATCTGAACCCCAAATAGCGATACTCACGATCTTTCTGCTCGATGAAACCCAAACCTTTCCTAGGCTTTGGACTTGGGCATTTGTAGTTTTCTTCATCGGACTCGGTGGATGATGGACTAGGAGGTGCTGTCGGCGACTTCTTCTCTATATTCTTATCCTCATACCCATAGAAGTTACGCCACTCATCTTCATCTATGTCTGAAACAGATGATTCGCCGCTCGTCTCCATCGGTGGTCGTGGAAGCGTGGATTGTTCGTCGGAGTAATTGGCAACATTTTTTCCCGGCGTGATCGGCAACTCGGAATATATGGAAGTAGTGGGTGTGTTTATATCGGACATATCGGTACTATCTTGAGTTGACTCACTGCATGATATGTATATTGGTGTTCGTGGTACCTCAGGATGTACGGTGGCATCATTCGGACGTGGTGAACCTTGCCTTTCTGTGCGCTTTTCATTATTTTTGCCATGTGTATCTGGGAATGTCGGGCGTACGTCTGCGATATTATTGGCTGTTTCTTCCATTCTAAAGAATATATGATCTTCGCCTCTTAGGGATGGAGGGCGATCCCGTTGTTTTGTACATCGTCTCGGTGCATTGCGGCTGGTACTCGGAATATCATCGTCATCAATAAAAATGGTTCGACGTCGCTGTGACTCTGCCCTCTCAAAGTGGGTACGGAATTTTTTCATCGCTTCCTTAAATTTTTTTGTCTTTGGACTATCTCCGTCCATAATCGCAGTGTGTTGTGAGATGTAGATAACAATTTCAGAACTTATCTTAAACACGTATTTGTTATTATATTTATATGTTTTCTTTCTTAAATTACTTTTTGGCTAATACCGTCATTGTCTAAAAGAAAAAAAAGAAAACAAAACAATGAAACACACAAACGGTCTAAATGATAGAGGAATATTAAGTTATAGATCTTCTACATAAAGCCTCTCCGAAATAATGTTTTAATTTATTCGAAATACTTCTTAAGACCACTGACATGCACTGTACGCATGTCCTTTTCGTTCGCCCTGACCACCACAATTACTGGTGATTTATATTTTTCCACCACATATGGGCCCCCATATTTCGGGGCCAGTTTCGCCGCAAAGTTATCGATGGCTCTTGATTGGGGGTGCAATCTAATAAGAACCTTTTCCCCAATTTTTGGTTTCCATGCCCGATGTCGGAGATTGTAGTGTCGTTTCTGATTTTGTGCTGCTTTGGCTAGATTTCGTCGGACTATTATAAATATTTCCCTTAATTCCAGTGCTCGGTCTTCAGGTAAAACTATTCTGGCACCTGTTCCAGCTGTAACTTGGTCGTATAAGGCCTGTGGTAGCCTAGGTTCACGGCCTTGTGTTAGAAATGCCGGGGAATATCCTGTGGATTCGGAGGCACTAGTATTAATAGCCAACATAATTTCAGGCAACGCGTCGTCCCATTTATTATGATGTTGCCGGGATACTTGCGCAATCATAGTCTTAACAGTTCTGTTAGTTCTTTCAGTAGGGTTCTCTTGGGGAGTATATGGCGCTGTTAGCTGGTGTTTTATGCCCATTTCCTTCAAGAATTTCTCCCACTTTGCACTGGTAAACTGGGCGCCATTATCCGTAATAATCATCTTTGGTACGCCATACCGGGAAATTATCCTCTCTCGACAACCTTTGATTAGACCATCCGTTGTGGCTTTTCTAAGGGGTATTAGTTCTGTCCATTTCGAGAAACGATCCATAATTACCAACAGCATCGAGTTTCCGTGAGTCGACCGCGGAAGAGGTCCCACGAAATCCGCACATATTGTGGCCCATGGTTCCTCGGGGACTCGAGTTAACATTTCGCCAGCCGGTTGTTGTTGGCTTGATTTATATTTTTGGCACGATGCACATTTTCTTACATATCGTTTTATATCCTGGAACATACCCGGCCAGAAGTATCGGTTAGCCACTTTGTGACTAGTTTTCCGCATGCCCAGGTGACCACCGGCGAGACTATCGTGATTTTCCTCTAGTACCCTCTCCCTGGATGTGATTGGTACACACAACTTCCACGGAGTGCAGTCGTCGTCGTTTACTTGCCGAGGTAAATGCCGATATACGTGGTCATCAATAAGGGTATAATCCGGATATTTTTTTGGATTCTTTACGATACCTTCCTTCAATTTGTCTATCCAAAGACATCCATTCTGACTTTCCTTGATGGTGGCTAATTCCAAAATCTCCACTGGTTGCCTCGAGAGTGTGTCTGCCACAACATTTTGTTTTCCTCTACGGTATTTCACAACGAAGGAATATTGTTGTACTTTCGACTGTCCGCAGCCAAGGGAATCTGCCAATAACCGTTTTTCAGATCTAAGCTACTTACAAATTTTGCATCTCTTAGCCGATTTAATATCGTGTCTATACGTGGCAATGGGTAGGCATCCGGTACAGACCTTTTATTTAATTGTCGAAAATCCATACACGTTCGCCAGTCTCCATTTTCCTTTTTTTACTAAAGTTATAGGGAAACTGTATGGACTTTTTGAGGGTTCAACACATCCTTGAACAATTAGCTTATTCACCTCTGCGTCTATGATTGCTTGCATGGCTGGATTTCGGGGAGCATACCTTAATTTTATGGGGCGATCATCCGTCATGACAATTTTATGTTCAGTTATATTGGAGAGCCCTTTTATCTGTTCGAAAAGTGGTATTTCTTCTGAAAAGAATTTTTGCATGACTCTTTGCTGCTCGTCACTTAATTGATTATTGTTTATTCTATTTTGGGGTAATATTTCCGCGGGTCGACCACATATAACTGCTTTTCTTACCTCTTTCTGGGTAGGGTTAGCCTCGCTGATCATGATACACTGTTCCGTTTGCCGTTCCGGTTCGTAGAGTGTCACGCTGAGTCCGGCACAATAAATCGTAGTGGGGAATCGCTTGAAAAATTCCAGACCAATGATGATATCTTCTTGGAATTTGGGCATTGTTAGGAATGGCATTTCTGTACTTTGGCTTCCAAAAATTACGTGGAGTGTAATTGACTTGGTAATATTAACAGCGGTCCCATCTGCAAGAATAACATTTGTTTGGTGTCGATTATACACTGGATTTTGCTTCAATTCTTCGGCTAACTCCTTTTTTATAAAACAACTTGTGGCCCCCGTGTCCACTGTAGCGGTTACTAGTCGTCCTTCAATGACCATTCTGGCGGTTAGTCGGTTTGCCTCGCATTTAAATGAAGTTTTGTAATTTCTTTTTGGGGCCGGCTCTTCCGTAGCCCAATAATTTCTTTCTATTCGGTGAGAGTTGGGTTTTGAATAATCTGCATTTCGATTGAAGTTCTGGTAATGGCGTGGTGGTTCATGTCGGACGGTATTCGGAATACTTTCCATGTCATCTGCTAGCTTAATCAATTCCGACAAGGAGTTAAAGTCTTTGCGTCTTATGTACCACTGGTATTCTGCTAGGGAATTTCTAAAAATACGTTCCAGCTTTTGTTCTTCCGTCATTTCCGCGTGTTGCATTAGCTTCTGGATGGCCAAGACGTACTCCTTGAAAAATTCCTTGGGTCTTTGTACCCTTTTTCTGATTTCGTCATCTAATTTTTCAAAATATCTTGGAGGTAAAAAGAAATTTAGGAAATCTTTCTTGAATTCTTTCCAGCTTATCCAGTGTCCGTTATTGTTCCTCAGCCATATGAGAGCCTTATCCTGAAAGAGTTCCGGCATAGTTTTTATAAGATGGTTTAATTCTACTCCGTAAATTAGCGCTAGTTCTTCTATGCGTTCTATAAACTCTATAGGATCCCTGCCCTGGTTAAATTTGATGTTCCACTTATGTATTTGATCAAGCAGGTTGACTGGACGCTGAATCGGACTATGCTCCGTTCCAGGAAGGTTAGCTAACGGAGGAACGTACTCGGTTTTCAGCGTTGATTCTTGGCTTTGCTGGTCTTCACTAGTTGGATCCATGGTTTGATAAACGGGGTAGGTTGATTTCTCAGCTTTTACTGGCGATTTATTGATTGTATCACTTGGGGAAATAGTAATCATCGGCAGTTTTGACGGAGAGCGGAAAGTTGATGTGGATGGAATGTTCCCGTTTTCATGTTTATTTTGCAATTCATGCAATCTTTTCCTTGTTGCTTCGTCGTGATCTTGATTTAAGAACTTCGCCCATCACTTACGAAGATCGTCCACTCTCCCAGTAGAATCTAGTTGAAATTCCATAAGATACGCCACTAGATCTTCTTGTTTCAAGGTGTATGCCCAGGATACTCGTAACATCTTTACTATTTTGTAATTCGGGTTTCCTTTGTTTTTTTTCACGAATTTATTTATTTTTACACCACGGAATGTTTATCACTGTCTCTAAAGTCTTGCTTCTTCTAGGTGTCAATATTTTATTATTATTTTTTTTTCTTCATTTAACACGTCTATAGATATTGTTGTTTTTTTCTCGCTCTTAAGGTTCCTGCTCGGGCGCCATTGTGACGACGTGTTTTCACTTTGAAGCTGGGATAGTTCAACGGAGGGCCAGGGTCGACACAAGAATTTATTTATGTTGTGGGACATATAAGAGAGGAAGACTGTTTATTTTTTTTTTTTATCAACGTTATAAAATTTATTGATTTCACTAAATTATTCATTTCACACATTTGTAGTTTTGATAACACACAACACACTGTAGCAGCACGGCGAGGACGACACCCGCACGCAGAATGACGGCAGCAAAGCACAGCGGCAGCCCGATGACAGGACTCGAAGGTTGGCAGCAGCTAGGACGACACCCGCACGCAGAATGACGGCAGCAAAGCACAGCGGCAGCCCGATGACAGCACTCGAAGGTTGGCAGCAGCTAGGCACAGCGGCAGCCCGATGACAGCACTCGAAGGTTGGCAGCAGCTAGGCACAGCGGTAGCCCGATGACAGCACTCGAAGGTTGGCAGCAGCTAGGCACAGCGGCAGCCCGATGACAGCACACGAAGAATAACGGCAGCCCGATGGCAGCACACGAAGAATAACGGCAGCCCGATGGCAGCACACGAAGGTTGGCAGTAGCTAGGCACAGCGGCAGCCCGATGACAGCACGGGTCGAGGGAACGTTTAAAACCCCACTCAACCCTACCGACTGCTCTCACTGCGGTCTGAGAGAGGAGGGAACGTTAAAACCCCGCTCCACTCAACAGCCGAGACACTCACACAAACCTTAGAGCCGAGGGAACGTTAAAACCCCACTCAACTCTAAAGCCCACACCAACATATGTCTGGAGAGGGAGGGAACGTTAAAAACCCACTCCACTCAACAGCCGAGACACACACACAAAAACCTTAGAGCCAAGGGAACGTTAAAAACCCCACTTAACTCTCTAGACTACACAAACTAACTAAATTTACTGCCAAGGGAACGTTAAAAACCCCACTTAGCACAACAGCCATCCACAGAAGACTGTCCCGATTGTGTCGATTGCGCCTCCTTTTATACTGTTTCAGTGGCTCGATGTCGACTGATTATATTTTGACGCCGTACGGATCTCATCGTCGTTGTTCAGGGTTAGTCTATCATATGACCACTAGGGGGATCAGTTTGACCGTTAATTTCAAAAACAAAACCGAATACCATAAATTTCATATATTTTCTTTAAATAACTAGTAATTCAATTATTGTGTCACATAACATAAAACATGATTTCAAATAAAATATTAATACATTTATAATTCAAATATTTTATTTAATTTTGTGGCCCAAAAACAAGGTTCCGACTTTTGGCTCGTCACAATTTTTTAACCGCTTTCTTAGTGAGATTCAATTGTTTCCACTTTGAATGACCACAGCTTTCCTTACAACTTTCCTGGTACTAAAATGTCGTGTCAAACTTAAATCGATTTTTTTTCTTTTTTAATGGAAACTCCAATACTCATTTCCAAGGCTTTACATCACTTCTGTTATTTCTCTTCATCGGTTTTGTATTCATGGAGTTTAGAAAGGATTTGTAGTGTCACCATGTATGCTTTGTGCAAGGCATACAAAAGACATAAACATGTTAGTAGAAGAAGAGCTAAATATAACGCAATGGGAAACAAGTGAAAAACAGATTTTTCCGCAGCCTTATTGTAAACTCTTTCACGCATATACTCTGGCTTACACAAACATAAACGTGTGTCATGGATTGGACTTTGAAGTCAGCTGGGCATCGTCTTTGCCGAACGGTCAACTGAGCCATAATTATGATAGATGATGAATAAATTAGCTTAATAATGGAAAAATTTGTCTTCTTCTATCTCAATTTCTGATTTGCATGAAATTAGTTTGCTTAGCATTTCTAAGAAACGATAAAAACTATCCCCTTTGTAGATAAATTTAAAATATAAATTCCTTCGGAATTAGCTTTCACATCATTGAGGTAGAGGATACGAAAAACACTAAAGAAAAAATTATGAAAATATCATTCAACAGACACAGTAACGAAATATATGAAAAGGACATTAGAAGGATCATCGTTGACACTTCTTGAAAATATCATTAAAATAAATCTAAATAAGGATAAGCAAAATAATTGAATGGCTTTAGGAAAACAGGAATGAGAAAATAAGTGCACATGACATGACCGGACTGAAGTTTAGACATCATCCGTACAGCTGATGGTGTAACACTATAGAGATCCAAACAGGTGTGGCTCTATTGAGATCCCTATAACTGTTGAGGAGTTCTTTAAAGGTTCAAATATATGTTGAGGGGCTCTGTACAGATCCGCATAGCTGAAGAGATGTACATGCCTATATAAAGAGAGGAGCTGTATAAGGGCCGTATGATGCTAAGATATTTCATAGAATTATGTACAGGGCAGAGATAAGCTCTATAGGGATCGTATAAATGATAAGGAGTTTTCTATGGTTCTTTGTATGCAAAGTTTCATGAATGTCTTGGTTAGAATCTCTATGAATTTACTTATATATAGTATATCCATAGAGAGTTCCATATAAGTGACTATAGAGATCAATATTGGTGGTCATTGAGGTTCATATTGGTCGTGAGGTATTCTGCTGTGAGACGATATAGGTAGATGATCCATGTAATATGACAGGCTGTTAGCATTATGGTTTGTTAGGCGCAAATATCTTTCTCCGATTATACGTATCCTCGTCTGTAGCAAAACCAAAGTATAATTTTTAAATTCAAATCGCATTTTTAACGATAAATTAACAACAAAAACATCTATGAGACTTATTGTTTTGTAGTTTGTTATGACCTCCTGCTGGACTTATGGGGTACCCAATTTATAAGTTTAGGGTGAAATCTATATTGCAAAGACTCTGAACTAACCATTATTTGCTTGCAGACCCCTCAACCGGTTTCTTAGGAAACCTGTTCCCATCTTCAAATATTAAAATATGTCCGACTTTCATTTTCAAATATTGCTCTGTAAAATACCCTTTACAGTACCACTTCTATCATTAGTACCATGCCATATCCGCAACTACTCGCCATACTGATGTTGACATATGTTTGATTTTAAATTTTACTCGCTTTATTCCAAGTTTTTTTTTTTTTTTTTTTTGGTATCCTGCTTAAACATTAATTCAGTGGACAATGGCTTAAAGTTGTCATGACATTGCCATGCCTTTTCCATTTTATCATTGTCCCTTTGATTCCTGCAGCGTACTGAATTAAGTCTAGAACGATGTGTGGTTAATTTTGTGAAAATCGGTTCAGATTTAGATATAGCTCCCATATATAGTGCACCAAAGTCCCTATATGTCCTTCGATTTGCACGAAATTTGGCATAGCGTACTGAATTGTGCCTAGAATGATGTGTTTTTAGTTTCGTGAAAATCGGTTCTGGTTTAGATATAGCTCCCATATATATCTTTGTCCGATTTTATATAAATGTTGCACCAAAATCCCTATATATTCTTGGATTTGCATGAATTTGTCATAGCGTGCTAAATTGTGTCGATAATGATGTGTGGTAAGTTTTAGATCGGTTCAGATTTCTATGTAGATCCCACATGTTCATATATATTCTTTCGATTTTACATAAATGGCGCTCCAAACTCATAATGGTTGTCCGATTAACACGAAATTTTGAACATGGTATCAAATTGGGACATGAATGACGTTACGGCGTTTTGTTGAAATTGGTGCAGATGCAGCCATAGCTTCCATATGTATTTCGAACGGATGTCTGATTGAAATAAATTTTTTATCTGTGTGGCGTACCGAATAGCGTGTATAAATTTTGCTATAAAACGTTTTCCATAAATTTGGCCCATGGTACGCAGACGACTCTAAATCTGCCCGAATGAAATTAAATTTATCATAGGTTGTAGAAAGACATGCGTATGTTCCTTCGAGGGAACATTGACATGCAAATGTAAAGATACATATGCGCAATATACCCAAATTGTCCTCTTTTAGGAGAGATTTAAAACAAATCCAAAATACAGAACGAGTGGACCGATATTCCCCATCTTCGAATTTGAATTATGTTTGGAAGAAGTAATAAGATGGGCAATGCTTGGATGCTGTTTGGATGAAATCAAAATTTTCTGAAACGGATTTGGTCCAAAGAAACTTGGGGTCTAGAACCTATACTTCGATGAGGCTGAGGGTATAATCATCCATTAAACATTTCTGAAATTTGTATTATGGTCTACATAATTTGTTTTTAGAAATGTCGGTATAGGTCCACTTTTTGGTAAGTTCCCTATATTTTCATTTCTAGTATCTGTCAGTATATCTATGGTGACGCTGGTAACGCTTTTTCACTTGTTTTAGTCTACGTTTTTCGCCGGATAACTTCGAAGACAAGTGACTTAATTTCGTGCTGTCATTGGTATGTAAATTTTCACTGAGACATCGGCAATTAAACATTTCTTTTATGCACAATTAACCTTTCGAAATTAGACCTTTCTTTGCTGTGACCTTCGTTCGAAGAGTTTTTCATTCGTTCGCGTTCGTCTGCTTTACAAATTGTTGAGTTAAATTAACATTTTCAACGCCCACATAATGACAGACATGCATACAACGACAGCATTCCCAAGTGTTGTCAATAAAATTTAAAGATTTTTTTGTTCGTGTCCCTTCATCACTTGGTCAGAAAAGAGAAAAAAAAAAACAACAAAGACTCCCAAACAAATAGCAAGACGAAGAAGAGAGGAAAAATGTGTTCCTTAAGTGATTTTGTTGTGATTTTCTTTTTCGCCAATCCCCTTTTTCCCCCTATTTGCAAAGTTCCGTTTAATTAATTTGTAATTGATTTCACTTTTCTTGCACTGCCATTCGTCGAATCTGTGAGCAGGGTGGAAGTAGTTGGTCAGTTTGTGTTGCCATCGACTGCCTTTGCCGTTTTTGGTTTATGAAGGGACATGGTCTTTAAAAATTTTCAAGGTTACGTTTTTGGTTGTATTTAACAAATTAATATTGAGTAATCTTTGGAAGTAAAGTAGTCATCTTGTGTTCTCATTTTTCGCCGAGATCAGTGAAAGAAAAAATGTAAAAGTCCCTTTTGTGTTATTATACGAAAGATAATTTAAATAATAAGTATTAAAATGAGATTTCTTTGTGTTTAATTATTCTTTGTTGTTTCTGATTTAATTCCTTTTTGATTGAAAATAACTTTTATCATCTTTGTTATTTGGAAAAGGGAAATAGAAAAAATATATAGGAGCTATATATAAATCTGAACCGATTTTCCGGAAACTTTACACACATTACTCCAGACTCACTTCAGTACACTATGTCAAATTTTGTGCAAATCGAAGTTCTATATGGGGCTATATCTAAATCTGAACCGATTTCCAGGAAACTTAACACACATCATTCTGGATCTAATCCATTTCGCTATGCCAAATTTCGGGCAAATCAAAAGATATTTAGGGACTTTGCTACACCATTTACTTTAAATCGTACGAAGATATATACGGGAGCTATATCTAAATCTGAACCGATTTTCAGGAAACTTAACATACATCATTCTAGACCTAATTCATTACTCTATGCCAAATTTCGTGCAAATCGAAAGATATATAGGGACTTTGGTACACTATTTACCTTAAATCGGACGAAAATATATATGGGAGATATATCTAAGTCTGAACCGATTTTTCCCAATTTCAATAGGGTTCGTCCTTGGGCCAATTAGGTGACCTGTGTCAAATTTCAGCCAAATCGGATCATAAATCCGACCTGTACTTTGTTAACAAAAATACATGGACGGACGGACAGACGGACACGCGT